TATTTGGAGCCTTAGGGTAAGCCCTAAAAGAAACTGATGAAAGTCTCATGAACCTCCAAGTAGGGAAAAGTTTCCAATAAGCGAAGTCACAGAGCATCAGGATAAATTCGCCGATGGATCACGATGCCAGCTAGGCTTCCGTGTTCCTTGTACAAATGTGGGTTGAGGGTTGCAACCCTAAACCCTCAACCCTAAAACGGGTCTAGGCATCATTTTATGGAGGAAACCTGCAGGCGAGTAGTTATCAGGTGGGTACCTGTAAAGAAGGCACATATAGATCTCATAGAGGCTAACTATCCGCCTGCAAGCCTTATAGAAAAATATTTACCTGAAAGCTGCCCACCTGGGGCGGTAAAGATGTGGGCTTAGGGCTGCGAATAAAGGGTTCAGGGATCATGTATCTTACTTCTGCTTAACACAGAATTGACATGGATCCTCATGATAGCCAGTAGTCCCTTCATAACAGATCAAATACTACTGGCACTTAGGACCCCTACTAAGGGTTAACCCTTTTATGTACCTGCAATAGGAATATGAGGGATTCCCAAAGGGTTAAGGGTCTAAGGTCCAAGCTAAGTTCCATGAAGAGTAGTAGTGTCCAATTGCAGGGTCCATTCCATACACGCTACAGCCTACAGAATCAACACTAATATCCAAATCATTTAGGGTTTAAAGTAATCCCCGCCCCGTATTATCCAGTCCCCCCACCCCTGAAACCAAATATTCCCTATGCATTAAACAATTATATGTGTAGGAAATAGTTAATGTTGTGGCGATGGGTGGTGTCAATATTAGAGGGAACAGAATAATTCCTACATACTTTCTCAATACCTATGCGAGATTCAGTATTTCCCAAAATGCAAGCAATCAGTTGTTGTGTACTTGAACACTTGAATCTCTAGATTGCTTCAAGGTGAGCCCTGAAGTCTTAAAATCTAGGGTTTAGGATTTCGGGCTTAGGGTTGACCGTTAACATTAGCCATGACCTTGTCTTCCCCTGAGGGTGCAAGGACCTAAATATGAGGGTTCGAGGTCCCAAGTACCATTCAGGTCATAATTTTTGGGCCCTGAAGCCCCGTTATTTGAGTCCTTGGACCCTTGGGAGTTCACTGTGCCTGCTACAAGGCTGACGCTCTGTTGTGCGACACGGATCTGCCTTCCTAGAGGGTTCGTGGGACTGCAGCATTTCTTGTAACTGAGGTAGAACCCCACTCAGAATTGGGGTAACCCCTAGAAAGCAATTTAGGGATGTTAGAAAATGCTGATAACACACATGCAAGTGCAGCAGTTGCTACGTCTCACGAACCTTCAAGTAGAGTCGGCAATGAACCGTTCACACGTTGTGTATGATGTATGTTCTCAGGTTTAGCTGCTTTCAGGTGCAGGACTAGTCGAAGCATACTTCTGAACAATATACACTCTTTCGGGCTTAGGGTTCAGGTCTTAGGGTCACCTTACTGATCTTTGCAGATGTCTGGGCGAATGAGGATTGCAAAAGCTCTGGATGCTACCTGGAAGATCTAGAAACGACATGTCAGACGCCCACTCAACACTCCGCAATCTCCAGAAATTTTGTTCCAGGGCTTAAGGCTTTTGAATTTGCACTGCGCAAGCCGGAATGGAACTGACCCCACAACCCTGTGGCAAACCCTAAACCCTCAACCCTAAACCCTAAACACTTGAAGTGTTTCCATACGGATCTGTTACAGACACTCCTGCACCTTGCGTACTCCAGCGAAGATGAAGATTTTGCGGATTAGGCCCAGCCCAAGGGATTAGGGTTGAAGGTCTATAGTCCCCCTTAAGTAGATAGAATATGGGGTATATGGGGCTCTTATCATAATATACCCAAACCAATATTCTATCTACTTAAGAGGTTTAGGGTTTGAAGATTGAAGCTTTCTTTCCCATGGTAGCTGGACTTCCTCTGAAAGCAACCAGACAACTTGACCCCAAACACTGGGCCCCAACCCTGAACGCTACAACCATACCCCTAAACTCAAAAAGCACCCTATACCCTACCTGGAAAGCCTAGGGTACCAAAGGGTCGTTTAGGTTTTAGGGTGCGGTTTAGGGTAGCTGTATAATATATATACCTGGGTCGTAACGTAAATATATGGGAAGCCCTTTGGGCCCTAAGTATATACCACATAGCTAAATGGACCCTTTGGGTGTAACCCTTGGAGATTCAAGTATATAAATTGGGCCCTGCAGCAAATATTACGAGTATACATTGAGCTATTTGGATCTCCAGAATACTGTAGGTACCCCAAACCATCTTCTGACTTCTACCGCAAGGTCATGAGTTCCCCTACTTCCCTACTACCCCCCCCCCCGGCGGATACTACCCCACCCGAGGTTCCCCCTAAATTACAATAATTTAGGGGTGATTAGGCTTAATTGATGTTTATGAAGGGGGAACCTGGGTGGGGGGTAGTAAGCCCTAAACCCCTAAGCTCTAAACCCTAAACCCTTTAAACCCTAAGTCTTAAACCCCTAAACCACAAACCCTAGACCTAAACTGTCGACCCTTAACTGTATAACTCTCAAAGCAATCCGGAACCTCTCGTTTAGCCTCGGAACGCCGGATACTGCCGTGGGCCCTTGGCTGGAGTTTAGGGTTTAGGGTTTAAGGCTTAGGGTTTTCAGCTTTTTGTTTCTTTGGTCGTTGATCCTGGAAGATTCTTCTGACCAATATTTTCCCAAGAGCAGGAGGTTAGGTTTTACTCTATATATGGGGGCCTATATGCAATATCTCCGTCAAACAGACGACTACCCTCAACGCAAAACCCTAAACCGATCTAGGTTTGTTGGCCTTCCCGGCTTTGCGCAGTTTAGTCCATGTAGGTGGGTCGGGCGGGAAGGGGTCCAACTTAAGATCTCAGGAGTTTTCTTCCACTGTTTTTGGGTTTAGGGTTTTCAGTTCAGGCCCCGCATGAGATGGAATCCTGGACCCTAGACCTCTAAGGGCAGACTGAAGCCTACTCAGCTGATTCATGCAATGAGACAACGATACGTCCTCCCTTCCTGTCTTCTGAGAATGGGGGTTCCAATTAATTGTGTCCTGTGCATAAGCTGGGAAGACGAGAAGCAAAGTGGGGTAGCTCTTAAGAAGTATGTAGGCCCAAGTAGCTCCTAGACTCGACAAAAAATCTTGAATCCCCAAACCCCTCACCCTTAAACCCCTGAACCCTTAAACTCCAAAGCCTGTAGGCCGTAAACCTTGAACCCCATCACTGAGACGACATTTTGCTTGCCGTAAGCCAGCTGCGAAATTTCACTCATCAGCGGAGATGGAAATCTTACTCCCTGGTGCTTCGAATGGGTTATACGCACGAGTATAGGGGTGCTACATAGGGATAGCTGTAGGGCCGGAAAGAAGTACTAATCTCATCTTACGCCCTTTTTGAATACCCTATAAGGTTTAGGGTTTGGGGTGTACGTATAAATATATATATATCTATATTGACTTAGCTTTCTACATTACTGTAGTGATCCATTAGCTCATTTCCTACCAGCACCAGGTAGCTAAAGCTGGTTCTCCAATTTTGTGCGGGTCTCTACTAATCTGATAAGGTTTGCTTGGCCATAATCCCTTAGTTGAGGTTATCTAGGGAGAATTAGGCTAAATTAAGGTTAATTAGGGCGGAGTAGCCGGGGAGCCCATGATATAATTAAGGGGAATAAGACCCCGCTTAAAAAGTAGTCACTAAGTACACTGAATCCTATCAGCTTGGACCATTTGCTTATTTTCCCCTGAATCCCCAATCTTCAACGCCAAGCCCCAAACGCAGAGCCATGCACAAGTATCCGATGCCTGTATCTGCTTTTGGCGCAGGGCATTAGAGCTTCAGGTGCGCAGTTGGAAGTGTGCGGGCTCGGGCTTTCTAAACTTAAGTCAATGTGTGGCTCTGCCAGCTACACCTCAAGCCCGGAACCGTGTGCCCAGGTAAGTTTCATTTCTTCCGAGCAGTGAGGATGCATCACAACTCCGTAGGCTTAGCCGTAACAAATACTGTGGATGGACGAGCACTTGCAACAGGCTCAAAACACTATAAACTACGCTATCATGGGGGGCGTAACTGACCCAGATTTGCTTTGTCCAATATGGTATGCCCAGCCACTTTGGTTCCACATACTCAATTATCACGACTACCCGCAAAAATATACAATGATTGGCTTCAGTTGCCCAAATCCCATGTACTTGTTTACTTGGATACTTGGACCCTAAACCCTAAATCCGAACCACCACGTATGCGTAAATCTGCAGTCCCTATATCACTTTCCCGGGTCCAAGTACCCAATAATTAGGTACTTGGGATTTGGGTAATAGTAATCTTAGTACAGGTTTTGCGGAAGTATATGATTATTGGGTACTTGGACTCTTAGGGTTTGAAGGGTTGGAAGCTTGATTGGACCCCAGCACGGGCTTCATTCTACGAGACAGCGACTCCACAAGCGAAAGCATCTTTGTGGCATCTGGGAGGTGGTTTGAATTTCTGTATACAACTTTATTGTGGTTCCATGAACGGCTTGAGGTTTAGGGCTAGCTCTATGATTTCCATGGCTCTTATAAATCTCTTTATGACCATACATAACAGCCTAGACCCTAAACCCTAAACCCTGCACCCCGTTTTGACTCAATTTACCATTCTCTTTTCCATGCTAATTAATTTCCAGTTGAAGGCAAGGTGACGGTAGTGCTGTGTTGATTAACCTACCCTAAGGGTCCAAGGACCCAAATAACAGGGTTTCAGGGCTCAAATACTATAACATTAATGGTATTTCGGCCCTAAAACCCTATTACTTGGGTCCTTGGACCCTTAGGGGTAGGAATATCGCGAAACAATGGTGTTATCAAACAATCGGGGGCTCTAGGATACCCTGAACCCCAAGCCCACTTGAGGAATGTCTTTCGGTGGTTGAACCCAGTAAGATTATATTGATTTCCATATGTAGAATACCATGACCCAAAAGGAGGATACAATCTTAGTCTAATTGGGTACCATACTTTCCCCCAAATAAAACGCTACTTACATGAGTTATAGTCTAAACTCCTAGTATCCCTCTTTCAAAACCCCTATAATAATTCCCTGCATAACCACCTTTAAGGAGTTTAGGCTATAACTCACTTGGACCTCTAGGGCGTGTGCTTTAAGCTACTGTCACCTGCAAACCGCAACCTTCACTGACCCATCTTTGATGTTGGAGGAGACGCCCGAAAGGCCTTATTTTAGGGTCTAGGGTTTAGGGTTTAGGGATTAGGGTTTAGGGTCAGGGGATTAGGGTTTAGGGGTTTAACAGACTGCAAGGCCTTCACGCACTGGTGAAAGGAGCCTTGTACGAGTGCTTTGGCGGAACTCTGTCTGTGGTCAATAGCGCTTCCAAGTAAACCCTCAATCCTGATTAGTGCCTGGGCCCTGATTAAAACTTAAAGCTTGCCCCTTGAGAACCCTAAACCTTAAACACTTTAAAAGACTTGAACTGACTCATGGGGGGCCAGGACTGGCGCGGACCTTACATGGGTACAGGGCTTAGGATTTAGGGTTTAGGGTTCAGCCAAGGTATCGTGGTAATTACAGTACCTCTTGATTTAGGGTAGTCGAAGCTGAGCAGACGAAACGAGTAGATGCGTAGTAGGCTGTGCGACATCACCGCCTAGGATTCTCAAACAAGCACGCTGTTTCCGGCAGTCCCGGCACGAGACCTACACATTAACTTGCTTTGACCTCGATTGGATTAATTCAATTAGCCCCATTCCATGTAGCTCCAGTGTCTACCAAGAATACCCGCCTTGGGCCCTGCAATGTGCGAAATACCGCTAAACCCCAAACCCTAAACCCTAAACCCCTAAACCCTAAACCCTAAACCCCAAACCCTCAACCCCTTTGTGCTAACTGAGCCCTACAAATTGCTTTGCCACGAAGATGGGCTGGTGGAGAAACTTGACCCACATCCGTTCAATGACAGGTCAAACAGGCGAGGCTAGGTCCGGAATGCTGACCTCAAGCAACAGGGTTTAGGGTTTAGGGTTTAGGGTTTAGGGCCTTCCCAGGGGGCCATGCGTCCGTCTGAATAGAATACGTAGAGCAGGAAGACGTCTACATATATCTGAATACCCCAAACTCTATATGCCTCCAACGCTATGCACGAAGACCCTAAGCCCTAAACCCTAAACCTCTATACCCTAAATCCTAAAGTCCCCCTTAAGTAGATAAGATATGGGGTATGTGGGGGTCTTATTATAATATACCCAAAGCCATATTCTTGCTACGTAAGGGGGACTATAGCCCCTAAACCCCTTAACCCTACACCCCAGAAATTCGTAAACCCTATGCCCCAAAGGTAGCCTCAAAAAGCTCCCTAAATCCTAAGCGTAGACCCTAAACCTTAGCCCTAAACCCTAAACCCTAAGGTAGACTCAAAAGTCTCCTATTTCTCACGCAATACTTGGGGGGTCGGGGGACTTAGTAATAATGGAAAAGAAAATGGAATCTACTATAGTAGTTAGGGTTTAGGGCTTAGGGTTTAGGGTCAGGGGGACTTAGTAAGTAGGCTAATGATGGGGATAAATGGGCTTACTATATTGGTTATAGGGGTTACTAACCTACTTACTAAGTCTCCCTGACCCCCCAAGTAAGCTTCATAGCTCCTGAGAAGGCTTGTGGCGGACGGCCCGTCTAAAGCTCCTCATATCTTGGGGTTTGGGGTTTAGGGGGAGTAGAAGCATACAATAATCCTTAAACCCTAATTGGAATTAAAGGGTACACATTGGAGTTATATATAAGGATCGTGGTAAAGAACATGGATATCACTATCATGGGGTATATAAGGACTACTATACTTTTGAACCCTAAGCTCTTAAGTACACCCAAACTCACTGAGCCGTCAACACTTATATACACTCTCTCACTGCCCTTATGCACCAGTAAGATGTTTGAAGAGACAGCGTGTGCATGCTGGGACTGAAGGGGTTAAAGGGTCGGGTTTAGGGTTTAGGATTTTGGGGTTATTGTTTAGGGGTTTAGGGTTTAGGGGTTTAAGGGTTTAAGGGTTTAAGGGTTTAGGGTGTAGCGGTTTAGGGTTTTGACGTTCTAGTACATGTCGCAGCGACTACCGCTGACTTGTTTAATGTATGTAGCTTAGTTGCTCTACTACATTGTGGTTAGTGTTTAGGGTTTAGGGCTGCATTGGTGGAGGGAGTAGTACGGATTTTTAGCCAGATAAGAACCCTAGCTATCCCCACTTCACGCTACTGTTGATACTCACAATCTTGCATGGCCTTATAAGTATACCCTGATACTCCTACCCCCAAGGGTCGCGGTACTTAGCGCCGAGCATCATCTGAGTGTCAACCATACTTACATGGTTGGACCCTCATGAGCTACAGTCAATATTTTCTACACAATGTAGTGGACATGGGTTCCTTATCAAGGACAATATTAGGGACTATACTTAACTACGAGGACCTTTATGTCCACTGTCAAGGGTTCTGTAACCAGCCTAATACTGACAGTAGCTCCTGTCATTCCACACCCTGCACCCTGAACCCTACTCCCCGAACCCCCTAAGAGTCCATTAATGAGGCTAAAACTGACGGTAG